AAAGTAAAATGTTGACACGGACAATCACTCATATGATAAGCTCCGCTCGGCAAAGTCGACAGCGGAGCTAAAAACTTGCATTGCCGAATCTCAAATGAGAGAAATGAGGACGGACATCAACAAAGTCTTTTATTCTGAAATATGAATTGATATGTTTTGTGGAAATGTGACGTGAACATTGTTATAGCACTGTAAAGATATGTCGGGGTTTAATGGTAATATGTTAATTTAAATAAATTGTGTATATGTGAGTGTGTGTATGAGTAACAATGATAACAAAATAGAATTGTTATCACATACGTAACTATGACAGAGCAGTGGGAATATTGTACTCGTACATGTCCGCGTCTATAATTTAAATATTTTAGAGAGATCATTTACTCAGTTTATCTGTAAAGGAAATAACACGTTGGATACAAATGGCGGAGTAATTTGACTTTTTAAATTTTTGTAATACACTCGCCCGTTGTGCAAAATCATAACATCATGTCTGTCGGTAATCGCGAATTGTACTGCACATGTTTCCCAGAAAAAAATAATACATACAGTAATTAAGATAGTTGTGAAACATGGCATCATGTAATGAATGTGTAGCAATGGTGATTATATGTTGGTTATATGTGTCTTACCCCTTGAACACCATCCGGGATATTGTAATCGATGATGATATCGTCAAGACTGACAACTTTAACATTCAATGTACCATGTGGCATTTTTCCAGTGATAACATTGGATCTACATTCAACCTCTCTTTGAGGGGAACTCTCTGTACGTTCACAGTTTACTTCGCCGATGGATAACGTATGTGGTGAAACACTTTCCTGAAATTTGAATTTAATGTCTGTTCTTATTCCATACTGAGTCAATAGGGATGTATGTCCTAACTCCGTCAGTCCGACTTCTAAATTCTGTTTTTGCGATAGAAAATCAGCTGGGTTGCCATGGTGAAGAAAGTTAATAGCGTAAGACTGCATACTTTTTGCACGTCCTAAATCCAACTCGATGTGTTCCATCTGTGCCTGTAATTCTTTGTCTTGCTTACCACATATCTCAGTCACCTTGGCAAGAAGTCTCTGCTCTTCTTGTTTTACACGTTTAGTAATGTTAGCTGCGTGTTGTTTTATTTCTTGTTCTACTGATATTTGTTTACGTTTGAGCTGTTTTTTTACTTGCTCATGTTTATCTTTACATGAAATCAGTGACGTCACTGCTCTTTCCAGTTTATCTGTAAGACTATGTAAATTAGGAGAGTATTTATTCACGGCATCTTCCATGGATATCATTTTATGATCGATTCCTTTATGATCGATCATACCACACTTTATGCATGCTGTAACTTGGCACAAATCACAGAATAACTCCAGTTGATTGTTAGGGTGGTTTGTACAGAATCGTGGTCGGATGAGATGACGCTGATCAGATTTCTCTAATTCTTGGTACTCCTCTACTGTGATCACTTTGTGGGTTTTTGAAAGTCGCATACGACTATGCTGTACACTGCAATCTTTACAAAAGAACTCGACACAGTCCTTGCACCAGAACGAGGCTGCCGATGCACACACATCACACTTCAACACATCTTGACCAATCTTGACTTTAGAGAACATTTCCAGCATCTCGTTTATAAACAGATTGTTATTTAGTGCTCTGACACCACCTGGAGGAATGACATGTGGTTTGCGACAAGATGGACAAGTCAGTTTACCATGTTTCTTTTCAATCCACGACTTCAGACATTTCTCACAGAATGTATGAACACATGGTAATATTTTTGGTGATGTGAATCTTTCTTGACATATAGGACAAAGAAGAATTTTTTCATCAATATCGTCCATTAGTTGCTTGTGTGACGTGGCTCCAATATTGCTTGCCATTATGAGACGGTTATAAATTGAATCTGCAAATTGGAAAAATAAGTGGAAAATTCGATTCATATTTTTATATCTATCATCTACTTGACAAATTCATTAATTTATTAATGACAACTGAAGTGACTATTTTGGGTATTTATAATTTTTAACAAATAACCTGTCTAATCGCTGATTTCAACTCATATTCAAAATCGTCATTGTAAAAATGCTAAATAAACAATGTTTGGCCAACATACACAATAAACAGCACAATCTATAATTAACGGCGACGTTAACACATAGCCGAAAGATTTATCACAACAATCGAACATCTACGACAACGTAAAATGATACAAATATTCGCTTAAAATAGAAAATTGAAGATATCGTCACAAAATGACGTATATCTGACATACGTGTACCCAAGGTAGCAACATACCAAATATCAAAGCAGTAGTTATCAAGAAGAAGTTCAAAATTTATTTTTAACCAAAGAATTACAAAAGAATTGACTAAGAATAAGAAATTAAGAATATCGTCTGAAAATGAACAAATCTGATAGAGCTACACTAATTTACATAAAGCATATGAAGCAATCGGGCTGCTAGCCGAAAATAGCAATTTTAGCAAAAATATTTGAAAATGAACAAAGTTGACATATGTCCAGCCAAGGTACATGCATACCAAGTATAAGGGCAATTGGCTTGGTAGATTTTGAGAAGTGAAAAATACAATTGTTGACGGACGATAGTCGAAGACGGACAATCTATATGAAATATAGGAAAGCAATGGATATTGCTGATTCAAATACAATCTTGTTAATCGGCAAGGATCGACTAATGAGAATGATATTTGTAATTAAAGGGCGCCGCTCGTCGCGCAACGTGTGCTTGAATTTCATGTAAACCAACAATGATTTTACAAGCCATGTATACGTTGCTATGAGTCCCATAACGACCACCGCCCTTTTACACACGTTATATATGGGTGTCTTATACAACGTTGTACACTCAGATTGTGGAAAGCAAATATGTGCCATATTCACCTTTGAATGATATGCATTGTCAATCATACAGTCATTGTCAATCATATAGACTAGTTCAAAGAACCAGAAAATAAGGACACTAGAAATTACTTATTACGTTTCTGGTTGAATATTTACAGTACAGGTACAGTTTGATGTGTTCGTTGGGAGCGTAGTAAACTGTAACCCCAAGTAGGTTGTATGAGTTGGCTTAAGGTCGTTCATTTACATTTGTTGATTAAGATTTATTAATTACAATTGTTGATTAAGACTTAAGTTCTCAATTTCTGCATTTTTTTAACCAGTACGAACAATTTTATAGGTGAAAAGCTGTCCGACACATGCAAACTAGTGGAACTATTACAATAGGAATAAATTTTAAAGCATTATTTCATAGAAAACAGATACTATTTGTCAGAATTAGTTCATCGTTTAACAATGGTTCAAGTCAAAACAATTTTAAAAAATCTTCTGTAATTAATTCATCTGGAATGATCTTTTTTTCTCGGGTATTTCTGAATAATAATCTAATCACTGAACTCTATACATGTTAGTATAGTCATAGAAGTTTATTAAAAAATCTGTGATTTCCTTGCTAGGAAACGCAAGGGCAATATAATCTTCATCAATTTAGCAGGATTTTTTTAACACACATTTTCATAGTAAATCATCAGTTTTGTTTTGGTTTCAATCATTAGTACATATGTCGAGCTCCTCTCCAAATTGTTGCTTCTGAACTGGTAGATGTCATTTCATGCGATAATGTAGTCATATGACAATATGAAATACTTTTAATCATTGATATATTATTATTATATTTTATTTTAATCCAGTAATTTAGCTGAAATTAGCTTAGGAGTGAAAAATTAAAAGTTGTATTCTAACTTTGTATGATTTGATGAAAATCTCAAACTAATCCTGTAAGTATTATAATGAGTTTGGATTGTGCACAGTTCAGATTCTGAATAGATGTCAGAAGTACGTTCGAAAATACTGGCACAACCTTGAGTGATTAGACATGACGGCCTTCAGTGTAGTCGAGCTTTAGTGCAGCATTGATTCTAGACAACAGTGACGCAAGCCTACACTGGATGTCGTGCTCCAATATTTCAGGAAATGTTGCCAAACCAACAGATTTTATTATTTTTCCAGTAATCAAAATGATTAGTGAGAGGTGCAACTTTAATAAAATATCCCTATAGCAACAGTAGCAAAATAAATGCCCTGTACTTTGTAATAGTGCAAATAAAATACTCAATACGACATACACCATATCTCAATTGACATTTATACTACCTTTACATTGGGTGTAGGTTTATAATTTGACTTCAGGTATGTGTACAATTTATTAATGCATTTTATACCGCCCCTTGTACAAATACATTTTGTTTTCTACCAAATTATATTTTATCGCATAATGAAGAATTATTCACAGAGGATTTAGCTCCATTACTAATTAGAATATTGAGCGGTTGTATTGACAAAGAAAATGTCGGTGATCAACCACTGCTCCCATTCTAAAACTGAGGTAGTGAGTATATACGTAATTTGATATTTAGGGAATAGAGGAGGACGCACTGCCTATATTGCGTGATAACAGGGCAGGAATGCGGGCAATAATGGACGAGGCGCAGCACTGTCCGTTATTTAACATCCATGTTCGACAAGCCCTGCTATCATGCAATATTGTGCAGTCCTAAACGCTAAGAAATGCCGAAATATTGAATATATAGTGTGGTTAGCGCGTCGTAGACGTTTGTATTTCAGTTGCGTATACAATGATCACCGGCAAACGACATGCGAAAAACGCTGCATGATTGTTCAAATAAATAGGATTTATTAATTATTTAAAAAAATCTTGGTGCGTATAAATTCAGTAAAACATTGGATATTGCTGATTCAAATACAATCTTGCTCGACAGTTCGTGTATTGATCTTGATACCTGTCCAGTTAACTGATAAACGAGATCAATAGACCGAACATGTGAACATATGTGCCGTATTCACCTTCGAATGCTAGCCACATACAAACTGGTTCAATGAACCCGGAAATAAGGTCAGAAACTCGACACGTTGAAATTAATTATTACGTTTCTGGTTGAATATTTGTTAAAATCGTTGTATTCCTAACGACTAACTATCATTACATTTGTTTTGAATTCATGCGTATTTCATTTCCACTAAAAACGAAATCAACACCGCGGGATTTTAACGCAAAAATAGACCACAAAATGGCGGTCTCGTCAGGAATAACACCTACTCAACGATCGTATAATCGTTTTTTATATAGTTTTACAAAATCATTTATTTTATCATACCTACCTTAAATCAACTACTATTATATACGCAATGTCCTTGCAATACAAGTCTTGAGCTGGTCGTTGGAATTTAGATTTGTAGTGCCGGGAACCAGGGCAGGAGACGTACAGTGAGGTTCAGTTGTACTAGTCTGTAACGCAGTGAACTTTAACCCCAATAGGTGGTCTGAATTGCCTTAAAGTTGTGCGCGGGCATTATACCAAATAAATCAGAGCGGAAAGAATAATACGTTCTTTTGTTGTGAAAGTTTTGCATAACATTTTGTATTAAGACTCAAGTTCTCAACTTTTGGATTTGTTACCCAGTACAATTCGTGACAACCGTGAGTAACCGTATTATAACTACATATAAAATAGGTGGCCATCACAAAACAGTGTGTGTTCGTAATTCGTGTAAATAAACTATATATATCACACGCGTTGTTAGATTTTCATAAATATTGTCTCTTGGTTGTTTAATTAGATTGCGTTCTGTTTTGGTAGAAAAGAGATAAACAGTACGAATTGTCAATTGCGCTTTCGAATAACATATGGATGATATATATCTCAATTTTTAAAATCCCAAAACCTAATACAATGTTTGTTTTTTTGCCATATCGCCAATCTCGAATTGATTGTTTGAATAGTTTGGTGTATTGTTCTGTTTTTCCTGAACTGAATGATCAGTAACTGCCGGCGAATGTGTTTACGTACATCGGCGATGCCGCACTTGATCTAGGACGACCTCACCACGCTAGATGTTCCGCCTTGAATGTTTGTTTCATATTACTATATTGTATTATTTCATTGTCTATCACTGGCTCAAATCAAAATAATGTCAGAAATTTTATGTAATTAATTGAAAGGGTACACATAATAACATTGATTATAACATTAAAATGTATATTTAATTTGATGATTAAAAAAACAATAGCTTCAGTGTAGGAGAGCTTCAATGCTCACATATTCTAGAATTTGTTACCATCCAACTGATTTTATCATTCTTCACTGTTATCACAATAATCAGTGATAAAGGTTCTACATATGGTACAAAGTGGGAATGATCATTTAAATCGAAATGTCACTGTAGTAATGAGGTAGTTGCAAAATAATATAAATACCGAATTTCATATACAAATACCGAGATTAATTCCTCCCCATTCTACCGATACGGTTTATTGAAGTTGATGCTTATTGTCACTTACAATATTAGCCCCTACATCTTAATAAAATACCGTAAAGCAATGGAATGAGAGGTGAATATAAATATAATGTTGCAGGGATTAGGGTGGCATTACAGAGTGAATGAAAAACAAAATATCATGTATACAATCAAATCACAGTGAATACGAAGTGTGGTATGCACGGTTCTCTGCACGGTATTGTCATGAACACTGGCGTTGTGTTCGGGGATCAAGGAACTTAGTCTCGCTTGGCTGATGTCACTTACACGTAGAGGTACCAGATTCGACCCAAAAGAATACTTATAAGTTCATTACAGATAGTCCAGCTTTATTCTCCCAATCAATCGGCCGAGGTAACCCATCGCTCTACCGTTCTCTATTCCCCATACAAACGTTTACAAAATCTATACTAAAAATAAAATCTCAATCAATCTATTTATTAAATCTATTCATAAAATTCCTGTAATCTATGTTTATAATCTCCACCCTAACCATGCAAGTTGTTGATTCTAAACAATA